GAGTCTGGAGGTTAGGGTCTTGTTCAAGGGGCAGCTGGAAGGCCAGTGGCACTATACACACTGAGAGCAGCCCTTGCCTGCAATCTCCTTCCTGCCCTTCCCCTTATCCCCTGGGGCAGTTTCCCCTGGGCCTCCTTGGCTGCCTGCCTCTGCTCCCAGTTACAACCCCCTTCCCCCTCCCCCAATTCCCTTTTCTCAGATTCCCCCCAATCCAAGTCATACCCCAGCCTGCAAGGTCAAGCTCCAAGTCCCCCTCCCTCAGCCTGTGGAGGAATCTGAGGAAGCGGGCGAAACACTGTGCCCATCTCCCTTGGCCTGAGATTGTCCTCCAGAAGAGGCTGCCTCCCTTCTCCAAAACTGGGCCATTCAGATCCCTTCCACCTCTCGTTCTGTGATTCTATGACTGAGCCCCTCTTTGAGGGCAGGGACCCCACTCGGGAGTCTCCTCCAGAGATAGGCAGACAGACAGAGAGAGACAGAGAGAGACACACAGAGAGAGATACAGAGAGAGGAAGAGAGAGGAAAAGAGACTGGGTCAAAGGAGTCATCACTAAATTTGCCTGCAACCCTGCTTGGGGGAGAGGGCAAATTGGTGGGAAATCTAGATCTTGTTTTGTAAGGTTACAAATGAGGCACAGAATCCTAGCAGATGCTGAATGGACCTAAAAAATCTCGAGCTTCCTCTCCAAATCAAAGAGGAAGACAGCTAGTGTCTGAGGAAGGGAGGAGGAAGAGGAGAAGAGAAAAGGAAGGAGGAACAAGGGAAGAGGGAGAAGGAGGAGGAGAAAGGGGAAGAGCGGTGGAGATGGAGAATTACTCTCAGCTTGCTTCAAAAACCCCCGCAAGGAAAAGGTCCTCCCTAATTTCCTTTCTTCTAGTCTGAGAACTAACGGTTCCTAGTCAAACGCCAAGGTTGGGGAAGGCGGGATGGGGTGGAGCAGACTAGGAGAGCCTGAGTAGGCAAGGAGAACCAGGGCGAAGGTGGCGTTATTCAGTCGGTCCCAGAAGGAAAGGCGGGTGCCGGGACCCTCGTGGGGCGCTGGGTGTAGGAGCTGCGGGGCTAGGGCCAGGTTTTTAAAGGTCTAGTCTAGGGAATGGGCCGGGGAGGAGTCTTGCGGCTAAAGTGGAGCAGGGATCTTGCTGCAACGCTCAACGGAGCGGTGGCTGGGCCCCTGAACCACCCCATCCCATCCCCGTGGCCATGACCCTCGTCTGCCCCCATCCCATCCCTGGGGGCTGCCGCCACGCACCCGCTGCCCTCTGGGTCCGGCTGCAGCCACCGCCGCAGGCTGGAGCGCGCCCGCTCCCTCCCGTGCGAGGCCCTAGTCCGTCGGGGGCCTGTGCCGCCGCCCGTGCTTGGTCAAGTGCGCCCAGGGCTCCGTGGGCACGCAGGCAGCAGCTGGCCGGCAGGGAAGTCGCTCACGGCTAACTGGGGTGAAGGGGGCGCCTTTATGACGCTGCCAGGCCCGGGCGAGGAGGGGAGGCACTGCCCCTCTCCCGCCCAAGTCCCCGGCCTGTGGACGAGGGAAGGGATGACCGCTCCCAGCCCCTCTTCCAGCTCGGGAAGGCTGGAACCCCGCAGCTGTCCAGCTGTGTGACCCTGAGCAAAGCCTTGCGTCTTTCTGGGCTTCCTCACTTTGGGATCGTGGACTTGCTGGGCCGTCCCTAAGGGCCTCCCCCTTCTGACTGCTCGTGCACCTCCGCTTCTCGCCTTCATCCAGACCTCGAGGACCGGCGGGGGAGGCAGAGTTGCCTGCCTGGATGCTTCCAGAAGACAGACTTCTGCAGGAATTGGAACCACGGTGTTCATGGGAGTATTGTGACCTTGAGATAGCGCAAGACTCCTGGAAAACGTCTGGTTGTCAGAAGGTAAAGGGCTTGTCTGCCTCCTGCTTGCCAGGGTCTAGTTCGAGATCTTGTTCAGGGTCTTTGAAAGAGGATAAGAGGACAAGTAAGTCATACCTGTTTTACTGATGGGGAAACTGAGGCACAGAGATGCCTTGCTTAAAGGTAGTCAACCACCTGGGTCTACAATTCATTGTCCCTACCTCCAGGTCAGTGGAACTCTGCCCTATGCAGCCCCCAGATCCCAGGAGGCTCCTCCTTCCCAGCAGGAGGGTGAAACGTAACACACCCTTACCCCAACCACTTGCGTTGGACTGTCTGGCTGGGTGGTCATGCTTAATTGCTGGGGGTGTTTAAGGGACAGAAGAACGAAGTTCAAACACTTTCTAGAAAAGCTAAAACTCTCCCAAGCCAGCCAACACTGCTCCTTCCCCCTCAATCAGGAAGCCTCCAAGAAACACAGAGCACAGGAAGAGGGGCAGCACCAGCCCCCACCATGGGTGTGGGCAGAGGCTTCTCCAAGTCGGAGAACAGTCCGAGCAGGGTCCTGGAGGCCAGTGGCCGCCCACGGATTGTTCCAGGAGTCACACATTCCATCCTTGTTTAATGTAACTGAGAAGTTGGGTGTGTATTTCATTCTTTGGGATGAAATAAATCTGTTTCCTACAGGAGGCAAACTCACAGGGCTATGGTTCGAGAACCTTCTTGGAGCTTGGACTTCCATGAGTGGGGAGGGGAAGGAATGAGGATTCCCTCCCCTCCCCCAGAGTCATTTTAAGGACTAAGTCCTTTGGCCAGAACAAGTTGGTGCAAATTCAAATTCTTTCCCCTGGCTTTTCTTTCTTTTACACTTTTTTTTTTTTAGCATTCTCGTTTAAAGTTTTGAGTTCCAAATTCTGTCCCTCTCCTGCCCTGAGAGGGCAATATATATGTTATATATATGCAATTATGTAAAACATTTTCGTATTCGTCATTTTGTACAAGAAGGCTCCAATGAAAAAAAATGGAAGAAAGAAAGTGAAAAGCAGCCTGCTTCGGTCTGTCTTCAATCAATATCAGTTCTTTCTCTGCAGGCAGAGAGTCGGTTTCATCATGAGTCCTTTGGGATAGTCTTGGATCATTGTATTGCTGAGAAGAGCTGAGTCATTCATAGCTGATCGTGGCACAATGTTGCTGTTACTGTGTACAAGCGTTCTCCTGGTTCTGCTTGCTTCACTCAGCATCATCAGTTCATATAAGTCTTTCCAGGGTTTTCTGAAATCACCCTGCTTGTCATTTCTTATTCCATTACATTCACATATCACAACTCGTTCAGCCATTCCCCAATTGATGGGCATCCCCTTGGTTTTCAATTCTTAGCTACCACAAAAGAGTTGCTACAAATATTTTTTGTACAAATAGGTCCTTTGCCCTTTTTTTGGATGCCTTTGAGATACAGACTTAACAGTGGTATTGCTGGATCAAAGGGTATTGTGCATACCCTTTGACCAGCAATAACACTTCTAGGTCTGTATCCCAAAGAGGTCACACAAATGGGAAAAGGACTCATATGCACAAAAACATTTATAGCAGCTCTTTTTGTGGTGGCCAAAAATTGGAAATTGAGGGGATGCCCATAAGTTGGGGAATGGCTGAAGAAGTTGTGGCATGTGAATGTAATGGAATACTATTGTGCTGTAAAAAAATGATGAACAGGCAGAGTTAAAAAAAAAACCTGGAAAGTTCTTCTTAGCAATGTAAGGTCTAAGACAACTCCAAAGGACTCATGATGGAAAATGCCGTCCACATCTAGAAAAAGAACTATGGAGTCTGAATGCAGATGGAAGCATATTATTTCCTCTCTCTCTTTTTGTTTCTTCTTTCTCATGGTTTCTCCCATTGGTTCTAATTCTTCTTTACAACATGACTAATGTGAAAATAGGTTTAATATGAATGCATAAGTAGAACCTATATGAGATTGCATGCTGTCTTTGGGTGGGGGCAGAGGAAGGGAGAGATGGGGAGAAAATTTGGAAGTCAAAATCTTGTGGAAGTGAATGTTAAAAACTAAAAATAAATAAATTTATTTTTTTGTTTGTTTTTGGTGAGGCAATTGGGGTTAAGTGACTTGCCCAGGGTCCCACAGCTAGTACATCTCAAGTGTCTGAGACTGGATTTGAACTCAGATCCTTCTGAATCCAAGGCCAGAGCTCTATCCACTGTGGCACCTAATTGCCCCAATAAATTTATTTTTATAAAGGGTATGCATAGTTTTATAATCCTCTGGGCATAGTTCCAAATTGCTCTTCAGAATGGTTGGATCAGTTCACAACTCCACCCAAAGTTCATTAGTGTCCCAGTTTTTCTACATCCCCTCCAACACCTAACATTTTCCTGTTTTGTCATGTTAGCCAATCTGATAGGTGTGAGGTGGTACCTCAGAGCTGTTTTAATTTGCATTTCTCTGATCAATAATGATTTACAGCATTTTTTATATGACTATAGATAGCTTTGATTTCTTTGTCTGAAAGCTGCCTGTTCATATCCTTTGACCATTTATCAATTGGGGAATGAATTGTATTCTTATAAATTTGTAGAAAAAAGTGGTTGGGAATATTCCTTCTGCATATCATTCATCAGGGTGATAAGTATTGACAGCTGTAGGCTGTTGAAAAGGAACTGTGGGGAGTGGGAGATGTAATTAGGGGCAGAGACTCACGTGGGGAAATTAGATGCTCCGGATAGGCTGTAAACCCTGCATTACCCAGTCAATGGGGAAACTGGAGGGAACTGCAACTTGGGCCTAGGAATAAGAAGCCCTGCTCTCCCTTCTGTAAGGTGCGCCCACACATGAGACACCTGGCCTTGCTAGGCTGTTAATAAAAAGTTTTTTTTTCCTGGTTCACCAATAGATTTGTGGAACTTTTGTTGCTAACCAATGTGACTCAGTTCTCTACGTATTTGAGAAACAAGGCCTTTATCAGAGATACTTGTTGAGAAATTTTCCCCCCAGTTTTCTGCTTTCCTTATAATTTTGGTTGCCTTGGGTTGTGCAAAAACTTTTAATTTTACATAACTAAAATTATCTATTTTATATTTTGTAATGCTCTCTATATGTTTGGTCCTAGATTCTTCCCTTATCCATAAATCTGACAGACAAACTATTCCACACTCTATTAATTTGCTTATGGTATCACCCTTTATGTGTAAGGACTTTTCTCTTAAAAACAAAAGCCTAATGGATAATACACAGCAAAGCCCAGGCAGGCAGGCAGAAAGCAATGGGGATCTTCAGAGGACCTCCTCCTTCAGGTCAGGAATTTTCCAGATCCACCAGGAATGCTCTATTTCAGAATCTTCCATTGCTCTGAGAAGCCAAGCGTCGGCACTTCTCCTGAGGGAAGGGATGAAGACAGGTAGCTGACCCAGACAACCACAAGTGCAGTGACCATTCTAGGAGATCTCCACAAAGCGGGCAGTGCTTGCCCAAGGCCTGCCAGCCCATGGGGCGGTGGCCATATGGGGCTGCTGATGGCTTGAGCACTTCCCCTCTCATCCAATCTATTCCCTTCTGCGCATCAGGCTTCTTCCCTGTGGAAGAGGGAGTGGTCCAATGTCCTGCTTCTAACCTGTACCATCTTGGACAAGGTGTTTTACCTCTTAGCTGCCTCAGCTTCTTCTTCTGTAAAATGAGGGACTAGGTCTCTTTTGACTCTAAATCTAGGGTCCTACATCATCCTTCTAGTCCAGGCTGCCCTGTCCAGCCCAGCCCCCTAGCCCAGATGCTGTTGTCTGTCCCCTGTCCCCGCCCTGCAAACTCATACTATGCTCTGCCCCTTCACCTCTCCCTGTGCAAATGTCACCTCCTCCAGGAAACCTGGCTTTATGTCCGCAGGCTCTTGTGGGTCCTTGTGTAGCCTTGGGGGGGGGGGGGGCTTTGCTTCTGTGCTCAGCCCTTCCCTTTGTTCACTTAGGGCATTTAGGGGTATTTCCCTTTCCTGGCCTGTAAGCCCCTCCCTCCAAAAGGCCCACTGTGCCCTGGAGATGGGCTCTGCTGGGGAGAGGGTGTTCTGCCTGGGAGGCTGCTCTCTGGTGCCCTCCCCCAGAGCTTCAGGGCCTACCTCATGCTGCTTCAGCACAGGCAGAGGAAGCAGGATGTGGCAATGGGCGCAGCCTTCCAGAACATCGTACTCGTTTTCTTTCTGGCCCTGGGCAGGCCAGGAGCTCAGTGGCATTTTAAACGTGCGACTTTCTTTCTTTGGACGGACAACCTTCTCTCCCACAGGTGCCTCAGCTGGTTCTGGATCCCACGGGACAGGAGAAGGCTGTTCGGGCTTTTTTGGCAGGCAGGCATCAAAGGATTTCATCAGCCCCCTGAACCTGTGGCATTCATCCTGCAGTGGGCAGGAAGAAGCAGCTGCACACCGCCATAGTCCAACCAGACAACCTTCACAGGAATGGGTGGCTAGCCTGCCTGTCTGCCTGGCATAGGTAGACTGCCTCAGAGCCACCCCAGTAGTTTGGAAAGGAAGGGGCATCTATGAATGGGAGGAAGGAGGGATGGAGGGAGAGAGGGAAGGAGGAGGCACCAAAGACCACGCAGCCTGGCCCAGGCGGGGTGGGGGTAGGGGGGCGGGGGGGGCTACAGCTCCTTGTACTTGCTCTCCTCAGGGGCACCCTCCCCTAAGGGGCATCACTGGGGCCTCTTGGAGAGACCCTTTTGAGGAACTCTGTGAGCTTGAGACTTCATTTTCCAGTCTGGGAGACCTCACCCCTCTGGGCTTGTCTCGATCTCGGGAACCTCCTCCATCATCTCTGAAACTGGTCCAAGCCCCGCTCAGGACCCCGCCCTCCCAGCCCCCCTCATTTTCTGCCAGGCCGAAGCCCCTCTGGATTCCATCACTCCCTCCCTCCCAAGGCTTTAGCTCTTTTTTATATACTGCCTAACCTTTTGATTGAGAGCTTCTTAAGGGCAGGAACTGTTTTTTGCCTTTTTTTTTTGGTATCCTCAGGGCTTAGCACAGTGCCAGCCTGGCATGCAATAGGCGATGAATGAATATTTATTGACTGATTTGAGATCACATAGCTTTGCTAGACTTGGACCCAAGAACCCAGCCTCCCACAGGCACAGCCCCAGCCAAAGGAGGAGGAAGAGGAGGAGGAGGAAGGTCTAGTCTGCCTCCCCTCCCCCACCCTAGGCTTAAGCTTCCCTGAGGCAGGGCTGTTCCCCTTGACCTGCTTGTCTCAAGAACCTGACCCAGCCCCCTTCACTAGGCTGACATCCTGGCTAGAAAGGAAGCTGGGAGCCCCAAGAATTGGCCACACGGTCCAACCTGGACCCTGAGGCTCTTAGAGGCTGAGCGTGAAGTCAGGACAGTGATTTTCTACCACTGTATCAGAAACCAGGGTTCATGGGCCTGATGGCAGGACCAGAACAACCCTGAGCACCTCCACTGCCTAGATGCCAGGCCCAGCCACAACACCAGAGCAGCTCTGAGCAGAACCATTGCAGAGAGCATTTATGTAACACTTCAGGTTTACAAAACACTTTATAAAGCTCTCATTTGTTCCTTACAACTTTATATAGGCGCTATTATTATCACCATTTTATAGATAAGAAAACTGAGGCAGATTGCCTAGGGTCATACAACTAGTGAGTATCAAGGCAAGATCTGAATTCAGATCTTCCTGTCTTCACACTACTACCAGCGACTGAACCCCACGACATTCTAGAACATCCCCCATATCTCACCACTAGGACTATCACTGAATGCTGTTGAATTCCCTGACTGCCTCCACTTCATCCCAGTCACCAGAGCATGTGGGAGCACCCCCACCCCAGCTGCCAGAGCATGTGGGAGCACCCCCACCCAACTGTCAGAGCATGTGGGAGCACCCCCACCCAACTGCCAGAGCATGTGGGAGCACCCCCCTGCCTCCACCCTGCCCCAGCCACTCACCCAATGCTGGGAAAACTTTGCTTCTGGATTGTCTTCTGGGCACTTTGGGCAGCTAACTTTCTTTCTGGGAGCTTTGGAAAACAATCCCAACAATGACACAATCATGTCTCTTTCCAGTTCTCTTTGGCTGCTACTGTAACAGCAAAACTGTACCCCAACTCTCTGCAGCAGGGTCACCAGATCTTAGAGACTGAGCTCCCCCCCCACCCCTACCACTCCCTAGTACTGCTGACAAGTCCAGACCAGCATTAAGCTGAGCCTGCCTCGGTGGGGCCAGAGGGCAGCACCTGTCCCCTGCCTCCCAGACATCTTTCTGCAACCACGGCTGGGCCAAAGGCTGGGCCAAAGGAGCGAGGAGTACCCTTCTCTTGGGTGGGCCAGTCCAACCAGTCTGAGAATCTGTCAGACTCCCACCACTGGTCTTTTGAGTGCAGGCATGATGGAGCAAATGGAAAGAGAACACCATGTCTCTAACTCAGAACCAGCACAGACTCTACAATGAGCTGTTTGGGGTGCCCAGTGGGGCTTGCCGGAGCAATGCCAAGACCGCCAGTCAGTGAGGTGATAGGAGCCTGGCAAAAGCAGAAGTCAGGGCTGGCCCTGACACGAGGAGTGAGTGAAGAAGGGGCAAGGCTGGTGCTCCCCCAAACATGCTCTGTGACCTTGGGCACTCACCCTTTGGGAAGGAGCACACAGAGTCCTAGACTTTCAGAACACGGGGTAGGAGGCAGGGGGAATGGATGAGGTTGCAGAGTACATCTAGGGTACTACCCCCATTTTACAAATTGGGAAACTGAGACCCAGAGCTAGGGTTCACTAAATGAGAGGAGCCCCAGGCAGGAAAGTTGTCGTGGCTCCTCCAAAACCCTTGCCCTGGGGCCACTCACCTTTCCTGGACTTTTTAGACTTGTCCATGCAGTGGGCTTCCTGGCTGGCCGGCTGTGCAGGGAGGACAGGCTGCTGACGGGTGAGGGAGGGCGCTGTCTGGCTGCCACAGCTGGTCTCATGCTCTTCCAGGTGGCTGAGTGGCACTGCCAGTTCACAGAATTCACAAGGGATGAGGCGCTCAGGACACTCAGCCTAAGCGGAAGGAAGAAATGCCCGGCCAGCTCTCCTCTCCATCCCCCCCAGGAGGCAAAGGCTTCAGCCAAGCCTCGGGGCTGCCATCAGCCTTGACAACGTCCCCCAGGGCTGTGCATCCGGCTGTCATCTAGTGCCTGGGAGACCCAGCTGCTGGTCCAGTGGCGGAGCAGGCTGAGCAGACTCGGAAATTCTCCCCGCCTCCCCACCTCATCCCCCCAGGATAGAGTTCTAACCTCATGAGCTTCTAGCAGATGTTTCTGCATGCTTTGTAGACACAGACTGCACTGGACCTAAGGGCAGGAAGAGAGATTGAGGTCAGTGAGCAGGGGAACCTCAGAGGCAGGGACTCAGGTGGGCCAAGCTGAGACGGGCTCAGCTGGAGAAGGGGTAAGGAGGGCTGGGTTTCTTCTGGAAGAGAAGGTACGGTAAGGAGCATTTGGCTCCATTTGGCAAATGAGGAAACTGAGGCATCACATGCCTTGCTCCCAGCCCCTGGAGGAGTCAATCTACTCAGTGCTGGATCTCCTGTCCTGGGGGCATAGCTGGCTTGATTGGTGGTTGAATGCAAACTTGGCTCTCCCACTCTGTCTTGCCAACCCCAGGTTGGATAAGGCTGCCTAGCCTGTCCAGCTATTCCTAGGGCCATCTTGCTACTAGCTCTTAACTATGGGCATTCAGTTCCCCAGTCCCTGCCTCTTGCTCTAGGTATAGAGAGCAAACTGGTATCATTATTTCATTCTGGCATGTCACCTGACTTCTGGTTACTCCCACCTCAGCAGCCCTGAGACCCCAAACAAGGACACCCTTCCCTGGCCCCTTCCTTGCCTCTGTGTGCCATCCCCTTCCAGAGTACTCCTGGAGGGACCTGCTGTCACAGTCCCTGGCTCATACACGCCTAGCTCTTCATCTAAGCTTTCATTCATTCATTCATGAGAGAGTGATGTGGCGTAGAGCACCTATTAGGTTCTAGGGCTTCTAGGCACCAGGCCGGGGATCCTAGGATTCATCTCCCCACCTGCTTGTGTCCATTCTCTTGGTGGTCCTTTAACTCTTCTTTCAGGATGACCTCCTTGCATTCTGGACAGATGGCTCGAAACCTCAGACAGTGGGCCTCATGGAGGAAGAAGTAGGCCGAGGGCACCTTCTTTTCACTAAGTGAGAGAAATTTGGGTTGGCTTCATGTACTCCAACATGAGCCAGGGACAGGCTGGGCTGAGAGCCTGGTCTGTGATGGGAGCTTAATGAGAGGCCTGGCATTCCCTGCACGTACAGAACCAGGGCTGCCCTTTGGAGTTGACAAGCCTCTGGCTGGCACATCTTCCAGCCCCATCTGGCCCAGACCGCATTCCAGACGTGACTTCTTCTCCCTTGCCACCCTGCTGGCTCCTCTCCCAGGAGTGATGATGCTGGCACCAACCCTCCCCTGCCACCACTCTGATGTGGAGGGGCCTTACCACACTCCTCCCCAATCCCTCAGCTCCTGGGCCTCCAGGGTCCTCTTTACTTTAGCTTCCATCAACAGCTACACCTGAGACTCCCCACTCATGACTATGACTCTTGGAAATCCCCCATGACTGGACCCTCCTATGTCTCCTCTAGAAGCTGCTTCCCCTCCCCTGAGATCTGCAGCTCTCTCCATTTGGAGGTCATGTCCCATCCCACTTCCATAGCCATCTCCCCAATTCCCCTTTTGGTCCCTGATTCCCAGCCCCCTCGAACGTTCACTGTCTGCCACGCCCAACCCAACCTGGACTGCCTTTTTTGTCTCTTCTCCCAGGTTCTTGTGTTGAAACTTGTATCTTGTTAAGGTCGGCATGACCACCCTCAGTTAGCACAGTAAGTATGAATGCAGCCCAGTGGGTGTAAGGGAATGATCACCCAGAAATAGGAACTCAGAGTGTAGGAGAGAAGCAAGAATCTACTCAGCAAGACTGCTTCCTGAATTAAGGCCCATGCAGATCTTTGTTAAATGAGGAGAAAGCAACCAGGTCCCTGGTGATGTGAATGACGCATCCCTATGGTGGCCTGGATAACTGTGAGATGACATTGATATGCCGATTGAGGGAACCCTAAGGTCGTAGAGACCCCAAACCCTGCCCCTTGAGTCCTCCTCCAATGGCTAGGGGTCTGTGCTGCCTGAGCACTCCCACCTCTGATCCATAGTGTGCTCTGCCCCCCCCATCTCTTTCACGTGCTGTCTGCCCTCCACGCCATCATTCCCATGCCTTCTGCTTCTATACTCTGTGCCTTATTAAAACATTGTACATCATTCCCACTGGCCCATGTGATCTTTCCCATGAGTATCCAAAGAACCAGGCTTGTTCACCCTGATCCAACTGGAGGGAACCCCAGGGAGGATCTTTATTTGTCAGGAGTCACACCTACCGGTGGGTGAGCCTGGTGCCCTGACCCCACTGGGGAAGTCAAGGGCTGCCAAAGGATTCTCGTGCCCCGTGGGAGAGGGTCCTTCTCTGACCACTGCCAAGGGCGACCGGAGGAAGCCAGGGAGGTTGGCTGGGCATCATGGGGGAGGTGTGCCCCACAAGGGGGAGAGCAAGCCTTCCCTTCTCTGAATCCTCAAGCTCATCCTATCCCTTCTGAAAGTCAAGAATCTCTGCTGGTGCCCTGTCACCTCTTCCCTGCACCCCAGAATCTGTCTTTTCCCATCTTCCCATCTTCCCCAGGCTTACAGGAGCAGACTTCCTTTTTTACCAGAGGCCCCCCAGTCTTCATTCCATCCCTCTCCCTGGCTCCTTCCTGTATTTTCCTACAAACGTGCTCGGGGTCCCCAAGGAGGTGTCCACAGAATGATGTTCTTCTGGTCGGTGGGGATAGAGTCCGGGGCTCCATCATCCACTCCCTCGAAGCCTAGCTTCTACCCCTTCTCCCTCAGTCCCCCAGTGCTTTCCAGAATCAAACCAAGTCTGCCACTGCTCCCCTCCCATTGGGCTCCAACTCAAAGCACCTTTCCCCTGGATGTGTTCTCTTCTAGGATTTTGAAAACAATGCAGTGTCTTTCTCTCCTAAACCTTCCCTTTCACCTGGGCCCAGGCTCAGTCCCTCAAGTCCATTCCTCTTTCTCTTGAGCCCTCCCCACCCAATTACCTCTCCAGTCCTGCTGATTCTTTCTCCTCAGTCTGTCTTCACCCACCCCTTGCACATCACTCATCACCTTTAGGCAAATGACTGACAGATGGGTCCTGGGTGTCCAAAAGTCTTAGGGCAGCTTGAAAATTGAAGAACCTAAAACCGTACTGAGACGTCTGATGTTCCTATCCCGACCTAACCTTTCTCCTGAGGGCTCTGAGCCTCCCAGCATCAGCTGCAGATATCACCCTGCCAAAGTCCATCCATACTCTACCCTTCCCCTTAGGTATCAAATCAGCCGCCATATCTTTCCTGTGCACACACACACGGAGCTACTGATTGACCCCCCCCCCCCCAGTTCAGGCTCTTGTGACCTCTCATTGAAATCCCTGGGACCTCTGCCACTTCCAGTCTCTCTGATGTCTGTCTGCCTTCCACATTGCTGCTGCCAAAACTGTCTTCCCCGAGTGTAGATCTGACTAGGTCACGCCCTCCTCCATCAGCCCCAGTGGCGCCCTAGTCCCTTCGGGGTCACGCACAAGTATCGATCCAGCTATGCCTCCTGCCATGCATGCCCTCCCTCATCCCCTTGACTTGAAGATGTCCTGAGTCCCCAGCCTCCCCAGCACCTGCTCAGGCACTCCTGAAGCTAGTCTCAGTTAGTATTTCTCTGCTTGGTATGCATTTCTATTATTTATACTGTATGTCCTCATCCACATCCTCGTTGTCTCCCTCCTAAATGGAAGCCCCTTGAAGCACAAGGGTTGTCTGTACCAGCGCCCCCAGTACTGAGCATCGGGCCAGGCACTTCATACTTGTCAAAACAACTCGAAAAGACTTGGGAACTCTGATCAACACAATGACCCCCCTACAGCTCCAGAGGACTCAGGACGAAGCACACTGCCCTCCATGGGGATGAGGGATGAGGGACTCAGAGGGCAGAACGAGCAGATTTCTTTGCACAGGGCCAATCAAATACTTTGTTTTGCTTGGTTAAACATGTTTGTAATGGGGATTTTGTCTTTCTTGCTTTCAGGGGGGAGGGGAAATGGGAGGAAAGAGACTACAGATCTGAAAATAGAATAAACTCAAATTTAAATGAATAAATGTGTTGCTTGCTCAACTCCAGCCCCTATCAGAGCCCTAACTGTCACCCACAGCCTAACTCAGCTTTGTTCCAGTCTGGCCCCTGGCCCCTCACAAGCTCCAAATTTCATTTTCTCTGTCAGGATGCCTCCTCAAACCTCTCTGCTTCCCTTCTCTCCTCTTGGTCTTACTTCACTCAAGCAATATGTGTCTACTAAGTACCTAAAAGGTGTCAGGCACTGGGGAGAGTCACACCTGGGAGAGTGGTTCTAGCAAAGCTCAGACTTACCACCTGGTGAGACAGACAAGCTCAGTCACTGAGGACCCTGGAAACTGAGGATTCTGGCCTCACTTCCCAGGGTCAGAACAGGAGAGTAGCTTTCTACTATGGGAGGAGGAGGAGGAGGAGGAGGAGGAGGAGGAGAAGAAGGAAGAAGAAGAAGAAGAAGAAGAAGAAGAAGAAGAAGAAGAAGAAGA